ATGGTCACCACTACTGTACATTATACATACATAGCTTTCACCAATATTGTTTACAAAACTGACAGCTGAAAGAAGAGGAGCTTTTAAGAGATAAACTGTAATGTGAACCCGATAGCAATGGTTTATGTACGTTGTTATTGGGTGCATTACATTAATACAGTATTTTCTCTATAGAGTCTTTAATGTAAAGTTTTAATTTCTTTGAATTGATTCATTTTTTTCTATCTTTTGTAAACAATTTAAGAAAGCTTCTTTTAAATAGTCTTTCAAGATCAAATCAATATTATTATCTGTTGTTGTGGGGCCCTTAAATGGTGTGGGACCCACTGGTAATCCAGCACTGGATTTCATTAGGGTTAGTGCAAGAGTTAGGGTTGCTGTTAAACTAGATTCATACCAATGAGTTCATGTTTTCCTTCTTTTTGGGAAGATGATGTTCCATGAGCTCACATACACTACCATTCTGCCTGCTTGGAGTTTGCATGTTCTCCCTGTGCCTGTGTGGGTTTCCTCCGGGTACTCCTGTTTCCTCCCACGCTCCAAAGACATGCTGGTAGGTTAATTGGATCCTGTCTAAATTGTCCCTAATATGTGTATGAATGTAAGTTAGGGACTTTAGATTGTACACCCTTTGAGGGTTAGGGACTGATGTGAATGTAAAATAAATATATGTAAAGCACTGCGTAAATTGATGGCGCTATATAAGTACTTATAATAAATAAAATAAAATAATTCCCATTAAAAGGTCCTCTAATGTGCATCAAGGGGTCAAAAACTGGACCTTAACCTATTGTGGCTAATACATCACACAGATATGAGATAGCACTAATAAAATGATGGCAAACTTGTGTACATGCATTACAATGAGGTGTAAATTGGGGTAAACAAAAAACCTTTTGACCAAACATTCATGGTTTTACCTTTCCTGTTGACTTGCATTTTGTAATATCCTGAGTTTCAATTATATTTTAACAAAGAAAAATGTCCCAAATTTGCTTATTCTTGCTCACTACCAAGGTACAATAATTGTTATTGTACACTGAGAATGCTAATAAAGTCTTCCATAGCTCTGAATAAAGCCATTCGTATTTTCTGTATTTCATAACTGGCAGTCATGTTGTTGAATGGTGCCATCAAGGTGGTTTCATTAACTCCCTCTCATCCCACAGAGGCTGCGTTCTTCTGTATATAAAGAAGTCATTTCAATAAAACTGGTTTCTTGGAAGTAGCTTCTTGCCAGTTGTAAAATAAATAGCAAGAATTAATATTTGAAAATTGGATTAAATTTACTTGAAATTCTTTTATTTCCCTGTCAAACAACTCATACCATGTAATTGCAACATTTCAAAATTTTATGACCTGCTCACAAATATTTGATATAAAGGGGTTTTTTTTCCATTAGCGCCATACATATGGAAATGAAGACATCAATTCTGAGGCAACTAATTGTTGTTTCAGGGTGACATGTAAGAGTTTGCGTTGCAGTAAAACATGAAAGTATGTTATTTTCTTCCATTTTGTGAAATGTCTATTAATAAATAATCTCCACTTCTAGGGCCGTTTCCGAATGAAGTGAATGTGCCATTTAGATTCTGATTGCTGTATTAATAATTCTCTGTCATAAAAAAGCAAGTGGTACATTATTTAGAAGACATTTGGAAGGTTAAGTGAAGGCCCATAAACATTAAAGGGTATTTTTATGGCATGGATCTACTTTATAGCCTGAAATATAAAGTAATTTTGTTTTAACTAACACGTAAAAATATAAAAGTGTTATCTTTTCAAGTGTTTACTGATTTTAAAGGGGATGTCCTTTTTTGTTAACCACCCTCTGCCATTTTTTGTTTAGAAAAAACTGAGGCAGTATGACTCCCTAGCATATTATCATAAACGTGTCTGCATAGGTTGGGTTTGGTTCTGTGATAGTTCCACAATTATTTGGTTGGTTCTGTAATTTTAGTACTGTAAGGGCTTGTTGACACTGGTCTAGGTTGTGGTGGGTTGATTCTCAGAGGGTGTTTTACAGGTGGTGAGGAGGCCTTATATTGCCTCTTTACTCTCCGTTTAACCTTTTGAAACTCACACCACTGCACCGTAACCACGTTCATTGCACTGGTGGTGGTTGTGGCATGGCTCTAGTCACTTGAACATAACAGCGAGTATAATTTTTTGCAGCAGCATGTGTATACTCACGCACTGCTGGGTGGAGTGGTTCGAGATAGTAAAAATGCAACTCATCCACATGTTCTTTCTTCCCCCCAACCACAGATGTAAGCTAAGCCTTAAAACGGAACTTCACCCTAAAGGGGAAGCTCCGCTTTACTGTATGACCTTCTCCCCCCTCCTCTTCTATTTTTGCCAGTTTTTGGAGGGGCAAGAGTGAGTACCTGGTTTTGACAGGTACCAGCTCCTACTTATGGTCAGATCGCTGCGGCGATTCATTAGAAGTTCTATTTTCACCCACAACCGTCTGGGATACATCATAGGTCCCAGAAGGCTGCAAGACCTTTTACAAATTGCAGTGAGGCTCCCGCATGCATAGTAGGCAGCCGGCTGTGAAACTGTAAGGAATCAAAGTCAACTGTCCACAGTAAACATACAGGTGCCGGGACCCAAAGAACCGGTTCAGGTGAGGATGGCGCTGGACTCTGAACAGGTGAGTGTCCTTTCATTAAAAGTCAGCAGCTGCAGTGATAGTCAATACTCCCATCAAGATGTGGGTTTGCCATTCCCAAACTGGAGCTAAAGAATGCCTTGACGTTGCTTGAAAATGTTTTCAATGTACTGCACCACAATGGCCCCAAATAAGCTGGATGGTGACTTATGCTCTTTTCAACCTATACACGTGCATTAACCCATGTTGTTTTAAAGTGGTTGTAAACCTCAGAAATCAAAAATGAACAAAGCATATCATAATAAAGTGTACTTTTTGACAGTTTTTTCAGACAGCAGACAATCCATGGTGATGACACACCTTTCCCCCTTCCTCTAGCACCCAACAGGTGATTGACATCCTCAGATATGCATGTTTCACACTACTGTGTAGAGGGGAGTGTGCCTATTCCCTACACCAGGTCCCTGCCTCTAGGAAGCTGAAAAATACCATCCGATCTGTGTGTTTTGCAAGGTTGTGGAGGAGAGAGGATTTCAGATAAATGGGTAGAGCCTATGTAGCTGGATTTGCTTCATGAGGGCAGCACAGTGGCTAAATGGTTAGCACTTCCGCCTGGCAGTACTAGGGTCGCTGGTTTGAATCCCAACCCCAGCACCACCTGCCTGGAGTCTGCATGTTCTCCCTGTGACTGCGTGGGTTTCCTCCAGGTACTCTGGTTATCTCCCACACTCCAAAGACATGCTGGTAGGTGAATTGGCTGCTGTCTAAATTGTCCCTAGTATGTATGAATGTGAGTTAGGGACCTTAGATTGTACACCCCTTGAGGGTCAGGGACTGATGTGAATGTAAAATATAAATGTAAAGCGCTGTGTAAATTGACGGCGCTATATAAGTATCTGAAATAAATAAATCATTTTGTATCACCTAAGGCTAGTCACTTGGGCTTATGTAAGGATTTGTTATCACTTCAAGGCAGCATACTCATTTGAGTGGTTCCTTTAAGAGGACCTTCTATGAAATGCAAAGTCCACTTGAAAATGCAAGGTCTTATTATATAGCCCTCCTTCCCCCCAAATTAAAAAATGCAAATTAATGGTAAATAAATTAAATCCTACTTTCTGGAGTGCTCCTAAAGACCTTTTTGAAGGGTCCTAGGAAAGCTGAAGATCCCAAATCTCCCCAGAAGATGCTCTATTCTGGTGCAGAAGTGTGCTTTCGTAGGATCCAAAGAAAAGTCCCAGTGATGTCATCTTTACCTAGGAGAGCCTAATAGAAGCTAGAGCATATTATACGTCTTTTTTCCTTTTTTCTCCTAATCTTTAATTATGGTATGTTTTCAAAATTGCATTTTTCATTTCAGGGGTTTGGGGACTAGGCAATACATGCAAGATAATGCAAGTCCACTTTAACAAGCCTCAGTGCACAAAATTATGCAGTTGCACTATTTTTGACAAACTCAGCGAACCACAGCACATGGTGATTTTACATCTCTGTGTTGTGGTGCACTGAAAAGTAGGTGTGTTTATTATACAGTATATGGAGGGTCATTTAGAGTGAATGGCGATGAATCATAGTTCACTGTTGTACACACAAGGGTGTAGATTCAGTCTTAACTGAAATCCCTAAAGTGAACCTGTATTTTTCATGTTGGGCAAAGAAACAAGTAAACTGAAAGAGACCTGGTCACCAACCCAAAAAATGTAGGTAAAAGCACCAAAATATACAGCATTTTAAATGCTTACTTGCTATGTTTTGCATTTCCATAAATTATTTTTATCCATTTCAATGTTCCTTTAAAGTTGCTGAGTAATTAACGCTAGGAAAGTAAATTCTGTAGCGCAGCCTCCACCCTTCTTTTATGTCATTGCCCTCTCCTCTTCATTGCTGTCTACTTACTTGTGTGCTGGCCCAGCTCTTCCACCCCTCCCCTTACATCCCTACATAACCTTTAATGTAGAAGCTAGGGGAGAAGTAAAGAGCAGAGTTTCTCAACCAGGATTCCAAGGAACCCTAGGGTTCCTCCAGAGGTTGCTAGGGGTTCCTTGAACAATGAGCAATTTCTTCCTCTTAGATAAGTTCCCCCTGACACCGTTAATCTTTTTCTCTATCTGTAAGGGAGCAATTCCTCCCAAAGACTACAAGTATAAGGAGCATGCTTCCCACTGACCATCACACTAATGTTTCATGAGCTGAAGATATAATCATATAAATAACTAAATAGTCTGGCAACAGGATTTTTTAAAATGCTGTTCCTCCCTGAATTTATTAATTTCACCTTTGCTCCCTCACAGAATATAGTTTTTGGGAATGGCCCTGAGCAAGAAGTACTTGGTCCTTTTGGGTTTAACCTCCCTGGCGGTATTCCCGAGTGTAGCTCGGGGTTAACTTTCAGTACCAAAAGCTGTAACCCCGAGCTACACTCGGGATTACCCTGCAGCGTTGCTCAGGGATCCCTCCAGCATTTACCTTGTCCTGCGCTCCTTCGATGTCCCCCCTGCAGCGTCCCCGGCCATCTCCTCCGGCCGATGCAGGCATCCGTCTTCCATTCCCTGCAAGCGTCGGGACATACGGGATGTACGGGGGACAGTACCAGCGAGAAATTCAAAAATGTTAAAAGTGACATTCATTCAATTTACTAAAATCACATGGTATAACATTACTGTATCAAACCATTTCACATACATTTTGTCCCAAGTGCTTTGTCCTGTCCCCTGCCTGCATTTTTACCGATCTTTCTGCCTGGAAACTGAGAAACGTCCATGGCGTCCAGAAAGCGTCCCTTTAGGTCAACAGCGGTTTTAGATCAGCTAGAGAACAGCGATAGTAAATTAGAACCACTTGCAGAATTGAGTGATAATAATTCGTGGAGAAATTCGTCATCAGACACTGAAAACTATTTTGCGACTTTGCTCAGTGATGTGCGAACTTGGCGCTCTGTTTCAAATTTCAGTGTTTTTAGTTTGATTATATTATTGAATTGAATTTATTATTATATTATTATTTTTTATGTTTATTATATTATAATTTATGATTTTGTGATTCAAATTTTATTATACCCGGGATGTTTACTAGACTCTTGTTCGGACTGATTTCAGTGAGTTATTCCTAAGAATTACAGGCCTACAATAAAAAAAACAACATATTTCCATGCAAAAAAATGCACCGCTTTGAGCACAGAAATACTGACATAATAAGACCGCTAGGGAAGTTAAAGAGCATTTTGTTCACTCCCACTCCTATCGGTATGCAGCACTGGGTGCCTGAGCAGCCAATCACAGTGCACGAGCACTTTTCACAATGGGGCATGTAGAAAGTTTTTAGCCCTGAGTAAGCACAGAGCACCACTGATTGCTTTAGCTCTTGATTGTAATTGCCCCTGCACTTAGTTTTCTTTTGATCACCCTCAGGGGCAGACTGACAACTCATGGGTCCCCCGGGGAATAGGGGATCATGGGCCCCTGTGTCCTTGCCCAAACTCAAAAATGCCTATGAAAAAGGTACCAGGGGCATCTCATGGGGCCCCCTACTGACCCTGGACCCTTGGGCAGTGCCCGAGTTTCCAAATGGTCAGTCCGTCCCTGGTCACCCTGCAAAATCCCATACATACCTGATGAGTCTGCCAGTGAAGTCCCCTAATGTAGCTTCCTGTGATGATGTGGCAACAATGCTGCACTGTTTCTAAATTCAGAGCATCATTGCCACTCTCAGGTAGGCTGTGTCTGCTTGCACTACCATGGGATGAGAAGATGTTGCAGGGGGCATGGCTATCAGCATTGTCACTGCTGGTTCACAGGCCAGTAGACTGTCAGTCATCACTCGACCACACCTAGTATCTCCCACTGCTTTCCGGATTGACAGCAGTACCCCAAACCTCCCACTGCAGTGTCTGGGAGGGGGAGCATGTGAGATACAAATGAAGGAGGACTTGGCTCAGTCAGGTATTGTAAGGGAGGATGTTTCACAAAGGAAGATGGACGCCACTCAAACCGACCCACATGAATTGACTGAAGAGCGTCCGTGTTGGCCTCAGCCCTCACTCCAACTGCTGATGTGTTTAGCCCCGCCCATTTTGGCTTGGTCACAGAGCGATTCCACACTCTTGGATAAGTATCAGGATGCCCGCTCCCATCTTCAGAGCATTGGTGGGGTTACACTACTTTGCCCAACTTCGAGCGGCTCCGCAAGTCTGATACAAGGGCGGTTATTTTGTTTATTTTATGAGGCTCATGTATCACATGGTAACTGGATTTGGTATTTTTCTAGAACAGTCATACAGGCGTCTAGTTGTACTGTAATTATGCATTGTGTAATATTGGTTTATTTTTTTTATAGAGCGAGCATTGTGCAGAAGAAAATCATCTACTTCCAGGATGAGGGATCACTTACCAAAAGAATGTGTGAGCCAGGTGAGATAATCTTCATAGTCTTCAAAGGAAAATCTACCTTCAGTGAGGATACAGTACATGATGAGATATTACAGTGGTTAATTTAATGCGTCACTTCCCAAATAATTCCAAACAGTGATCTCTGCAATAGAAGACTGTGAATAAATGTCTTCTACTAGAGAGGTAAGCATTTACAGTCTTCTATACCATTGCTTTGATTTTCTCTGGGTAGCAACAGAGTTGCTTTAAAGTAAATCTAATACATCTTTCACATTTATACATGATCAGTGATAATATAATAAATATAGAGATCTGTAACATAGCCGATAAAGGGAAAGCTCTTTATTTCTCTGCAGTCACACAGCCTCCCTGCCTAACAAACACTGACATGTTAGCCACATAAGGAGTGTGTTGTTTTTTTAGTGCATGGGCTGACTCAGACTTGCACCAGGATAAACAACAATAAAGCAAAACCATTGGGTAGCACTGCAAATCCGCCATGTAATAAGCCAACTTGCACATATATGATGTCAAAACATATATAGAAACTCCTTATTAATGTGACCTCCTTCCAGGATGCAGCGCTTGGGTCTGAGCCAATGCCATGCCTGAACGCTCACCTGAGGAGGAGGATGTCATCAAACCCATATAAATTCTGGCACCATCCAACATGGAGCATACATTGGATGGTGGTGGTGGTGGCTATGCGAGCACAGGGAAGATAAATGGTAAAGGGATTTGCTTTAAATAGACTGTCACTTTGTCCTAAATTGACAAAGTGATGTGAAAACATTTTGAACTATGACCCTTTATTTATTTATCATGCCCTTTGGATGTTTTACTTTGACAATGGCTTTGACTATGACTTTCTATAATACCCAGTGGAAACACCCCTAAAGACTTATATCATGAGCATAACCAAATTCTCCCAAGGTGTATGTGCATGTTAAGGTCAACCTTTAAAATAGTGAAGATGTACATTCTATTTAATGCAATTGCCATTGTGTGAAAACTTACAAAGCCCTGAACAAACACAGTAAAAGGGCTTAGTAATATTTTACAATGGTTTTACACCAAAAGCACTGCCGGTAAATTCTGGTATCCTTCATAAAGGCAAAGAGCCAAAGGATACCAGTCCAGTAATCACTTGAACAAGACTTTTCCACACCACCATCACCAAGAGATGAACTAGAACTATAGGGATTACATAAAAACTTACAGCTTCATGTTGAAGTGGGCCTAGACTCCAGCAACCCTATCCATTAGACAGTGAAAGACAAGTTAGCTGTCTAGGATTAATCATTGACAGTGGAAATTACATAGCTGCTTTTTTTGCCCAGGCCCTCTTTATCATCCATTGCTATGTGTCTCTGTACAACAGGGTGTTCCTTGACACCACCCTCTGATGACACCATTATTATAATCCAGTCATTATCAAGGAGGAGGGATGGGAGTGGAGTAAGCCTGTTAAACTCTTGATTGGCTACTGTGAAGTTAATGTAACATAGGTTGCCTAGGCACTGTCACACAGGGGGTGGAGTGTTCTGCCACTTCTAATTGCAAATTATATGGTACATTTTACAGATTACTTTGTCACATTAAACATTTCAATACTGGGCAGTTTCACCCCCTTCCTGCCTCGGCCAATTTTCAGTGACTGACACCAGTGGTGGGGCACTATTTCCTCCCACTGATATCAGCAATGGGGCATTATTATTCCCACAGATACCAACAATAGGGCACTATTACTCTGATGATACTACCAATGATTGGGCACTATTACTCCAACTGATACCAATGATTGGGCACTATTACTCCCACTGATGTTGGTGCATTTTCTACTCCCACTGGCCACAGTCTGGCCCCTCTAAAGTCTGAAAGACAGTAAACTGGTCCTTTGTTTAGAATGTTTGCAGACCCCTGACCTAGGCAATCAGAAGCAGAAGTTGTCCTTCCCCCCCCTCCCTCCCCGTAGTCTTCTGGGACACGTGAACAGTCCCAGAAGACTACGAGCCGATTTAGAAAATGCAGCGCTACTCGCGCATGCACAGTTGGCACCCGGCTGTGAAGTCGCAAGCTGTCACAGCCGGGTGTCCACACTGAAGATGCTGGCGCTGAGAACACAGGATGGCTGGTGAAACTGGCTGCAGGGAGGACACCGTTGAATCGAGGGACAGGTAAGTGGCTTTTTTTTTAAAAGTCAGCAGCTACAATTTTTGTAGCTGCTGACTTTTATTTTTTTACAGTTTAATTGGGACTCTGCTTTAAGTGATACCCTTTACTGGCTATCCCACAGTAGGATTTAAGTCTCTAATTAAAAAACTATGAGCTGGCAGGCTAATTATTGCAGAAGAGACATGCAATGTCTCTTCTGCAATATAATAAACCCACCTGCCTTCTTTAAAATGCACACTGATCCTGTGACCTCATCCCACGCTGACCAAAAAAAATGGGCATATCCCAGCACCCAGAAGAATCCAGGTAGATGTCGGTGCCGGACGTTGGACCATTGAAGGAGAGGTAAGTATTGTGGACTTTAAGTTCACTTTAAGTTATTAAAAATGCAAGCTTTTGTGGCATATTGATTCCCTTTTTCATGCTTTATAAAAACCTAAGACGAGATCTGAGGCATAATAGTGCAAGTTATCCAATAAAGGGCATTGCCTAAACTTCGACTTCCTGCAAAAATTAGTGAATAATATGGTACAATATTCTACTATTGCTTCATTAAAAAAAAGTAAGGTCTAACATAAAAAATGTCTCTCATAATGGCATGTTGGCCTAATATAATAAAAATAAGCAAAAAATGAAAAAACTCTACAGAGAGTTGATAGAGGTTCTGCTTCCTTTCCCCCAGATTAATGTGCCAGTTTACAGAGCTGTAGAAATACATAAAGTTTTTAGCAGATATAATACATTGTACATTGTGGACTTTTCACAGATTCCACATCTGAAGGAGGCAACGAGAAGACTATACCCGACTGTTGTGCTTGTGGAACAGCTAAATACAGGCTAACTTTCTATGGAAACTGGTCGGAGAAGTCACATGCTAAAGACTACCCACGTGAGTTTACTTTTATCCCTTAGCTTTTTACATACAGTTGTTGGCTCTTCACTTCTTACTTTCAAATCCTTCAATATGGTTATTTGGGGTATTTTTATAATGTTTTTTTTTTTGTTTTATTTCTTCTAACGTGTTATAATAAAATACATTTTGGATTTCATGTTTTTGAAGAGACAAAGAAAATGGGAAAATTTTAAATAACCCCAGTTGTTTACCCATATTCTTCTAATAGTTGCTTTCAAATGATTAATTCCACTCACAGAAATAGACAGACAGATGTTCATGGATG